GGATCAATAGTTAAGTACATAAAAATATTTTGTGAAAATAATTTGCCCCCCCCCCCCCCCACCCCCCTTGTTTCCTTTATCTTTGTTTGCATTTGAAATTGCTAACTTGTTGGAATAACACTAGTAAAATAGAGAAACAAGAAAGGAGATCTGGAAGGGTAATTCCTAAGTGCTATTGGCCTCCAAAAGTAAAAGAAATCCTCATAAATGATCTGAAAATGACTCTGCTCCTGAGAAATGACTAGCTCAGACGCATAGCTGTTTTGCCAATTTTTTTACTCATTAATTCATGAGGTTTAGAATAAATTATTTTAAACAATTAGAAATAAAGAAAAAGTTCTTTCTGAAAAGCAACAGATTCTCTGTGACATCACTAATAGGATCAAATATAAATTTAAGATGGAAGGATTGCTTGTTTCCTGATTGCGGTAAAAGGTGTGCACTTGCAATATGCATCTAGGGCAAATTTTAACTATGAAATTAGTATATTGATTTTGAATTTATGGATCAGGATTAGATTGGCATGTAGTTCATAGGATATAAACAAAATATACATGTCGGGTTTCCATTTCCATATTCATTTCATTGTTGTCATCACTATTTAGTTACCTTGTATACTGTTGTCTCTACCAGTTTGTGCAGAATTTTGCTGTTCAATTTGTATGAATAACATTACTTTTTTAGACATCAAATATCAATTTCAAAGAGGCTGATAGAAGTGGGAATCAAATGTTGGAATTTAATATCCGATGACAACCACCATGTCCTTTGGGAGAATTTGGTGTCTGGGCTTCAAGAGCATTTCCTGAAGATGACATTTGGCCATACCAGATCTCTAACTCATCAGGTTCTCTTTTTTCTCTGTAAACTTGTACATAGTCTGAAAAACTACTTCAAAGAGGGCGTAACTTTGCTGTTATTCCCTCGGTTTTTTGGAAAATACCCACATATTCTCCGAGGTTCCAAATCCACGTACACACCTATTTGGGAAGGCCATTTTACACTTCCAGAGACAGGTTTTGCTACCCATTGGAAGGGTTGACACTGTAGCAAGAAATGTTTTCTTTTATCAACTATATTCCGTTTCTTGACTTGCAATGTCAATTGGGTGTGTGGGAAGATATTATAACTAGATGTGATCATGGGATAAAGTGTAGATAGCATACTTGGGAAGTCGGTAAGAGTGTATCTCAGTTTTTTCCGACCATACCGAAATTCCACCAGCTTTTAACAGTTTCATCATTCTTGAGTTAAACACAAACTTTCAAAATAGTTTTTGCGTGAAGCTACACCACACATAATAATTCTTCACCTTTTTGTCAGGTTTTTCTGACTTCACTTTATATTAAGATCTCATAGATATCTCCTTAAATTGCTTTACCTAAATTATCTTGCAAAAATGGCCTGCTAGAATATGCTGATGAATTTGTCTAACTTGCAGGATTTTGACCTCCTGAGGAGAGTCTCTGGTTGTCAAGATCTAGTTTCTCAAGACAATTTTGAAAAGGTGTGGTGTTGGCTGTATCCAATAGCTTTTACGTTGTCACAGCAGTGTATTACTTCATTGTGGGGTTCTGCACCACCCGTGTGGATTGAAGGGTTCATTACCAAGGAAGAAGCAGAATCTTCACTTAGAGGTCAAGACCCAGGTACTTTTATACTGCGGTTTCCCACATCAAGGAGCTGGCCCCACCCTGACTCTGGTAATCTGGTCGCCACGTATGTCGGAAGTGATTATACCATTCACCACAGACTTGTGTCCCTCGACTTCATTTACAGGTATTTAATTTACCATTTATGTTCTTGATGTTTCCTTTCTTACTTTTTACCTAATTCCATTGCATTGTAAAAGAAAGCTTGGGAGAGGAGTGGGAAAATAGAGAATGTATTTCCTTTCCTTTTTTGTAAATTTCTATTCCAATCACATAACAGGGGAAACTTTAGGCCAAGAATAGGGTAAGAGATACTTCCTTTGTCCCTCCATTTTACCGTCTTAGTTTGTACCAGAATATCATCCACCTTCTCAGATAGAAAATTCCTTTCAGAATTATGCTTTTAGCTGGATGATACATCAGTGTCAAATACTGGTCGAATAATCGAATTCTTCTTCATGTGGCATGAGATGTTATGCTTGTAAATCTCTGTTGAACCAATTAATCTAGGAGAAGACAGTCTCCCCTAGCCTTGCATATAGATGCCAGCGAATATTTGAAGTTTAACAGCATGTATATAGGCAAACTATGTACCAGTCAATGGGAAGAGAACTACTACGAGTCTTGAATTGCTTTTGTATTTCTTGCATACATGTGAGGCATAAGATTTGATCTCAGCATCACTAAGAGGGTCCTTTTCTATTGTCCATTGTAGTTCTGGCGCCAAGGGAATGACGATAAAGCCAATTCAAGATATGCTGCTCGAACAGCCTGAGCTCAGGCGACTTGGGAGGCAAGACTTCTTACTCTTTTGATTATCACTTATCCAGTCAACTCTTTTATTCTTCTTTAAGTGATTGTTAAAAGTCTTAAAATTGCAGGATTGTGAGAAGCCAGTAGGTTACTCAAAGGTTTGCACTTTTATAGCCATGTCAGAGATATGAATGGACCTGTTACTAACAAGCAAGGGAGAATGGAAAGGGATTTCAAAGAAGAAGAAAAAAGAAGATAAACTAAGAGGGGAAACAATGGGGTCTATCCTTTGTATATATGAATGTCTGAGCAATTTGTTAATGTATATCCTGTGGATTTCTGATGATATTAATACCCGATTGCATATAGATAGTATTGATTTTAGGCTTGTAACAATATGGGGTTAATCTTTATAATCAGAATTTTTGGAGCCAGAATGAATGCAGTAGAGAAGGAACTCTTTATGTTGAGAGTTCAGTATGACTCCATCCTCGTTGCATTGAAAGCAAAGATGTACAGATTGATCTGCGAATGGAAAACCTCTTGGTACGGAACGCATTATTCCTCCTTAGTGAGTCTATATGGTGCAAATTCTTATTAGTCGGGTCAGTGAAATTCAGATACCGAATGAAGAGTGGCCATCTATTTTTCTCCTAACGTAAAGTTGACAGGTAAGAAGTAATGCAAAATTATAAGCGAGTTGCAAGTAACAACATTATGCATTTTTTTGGATTACAAGTTTTGCCAAACCTTAGGCATTCTCACTTGAATTGAGCATAATTTCCGTCGTAAGAATGAGTAGGGGTGTCAATGGATTTTTAAAAATCGACTAAACTGACCGAACCGTAGTGCACCGAATTGATTTTTAAGTTTCTTTTAATAAAGCCATAAGTTTTTATATAAATCTACAACCGTACCAACAATTAGGGTAAGTCTTTTATTTTATGAAAATAAACCAAAAAAAATACCGAACCGTATCGAATAAATTTACATATGGAAAACATATTTATATATTAAGTTTAAAAATAATAATGTATTAAATCTTTCCGTGGGTCTTGGAATTATGAAAATGGTTACAAGCCAACAAGTAATTAAGATCAAAATTCTAATTCCCAAACCTACTATGCTACTCCTATTGAAACTAAATTATTTCCAGCATATTCACTAGCAAGAAACAAAGTATTCTAACGATTATGAAATATCAAACTATATAATTTATTGAATATGATTTCTTTCGTATTTATCTTTTTGAATATTTTAATCTTTTGTAGCCTTTATTTTTGAGTCCCAATTTGGTTAATATCTTTCTACTTGTGTGATTTATCTTTTCTTTGTCTTTGCATAGTTTCTTTTATGCAGTGGTAGAGTAATTGATAGATCTATATTATGGCAATCTTTCATGTTTTCATAATTCATCATCATTTAAAACAGTAAAAATTTCTAGAAAGTTTTGCTAAGTTCCATTAAAGTATGTACGTATTTGCATTCTATTTTTACTAGTGACTTTTACATGACATTTAAAAAAATACCGAAAATTAACCGAACCGTATCGATACCGAAGAGGAACCGCCATGATTGGGATGGTTTCAAAAAGTCTAATTTTGATTTACATAACAGAATAACCGAAAAATTGATATGACACAAATTTTATAAAATAACCGGCCAAACCGAACTATTAACTCCCTGGGAATGAGACGTGCTCAAAGCTGAAACTAAAAAAGTAGCAGATCAAGGCGTGAATAAATCTGTTATTTGCTCGTGTGAACAATCCTTACTGCAAGAAATTCAAAGCGTACCTAATTAAACAGTTAAACGCTATAAAAAGTCAAATAGATAGGCTTTTTCTAATGTTTCTTGCTTTTCACAAGATTCATGTGCAGCTATGTGGATAAAAACTGAATAGCGTGTTTGACAGCTCAGTCTTTTTCCAAGAAAAGCAATCCTAGTAGATTGATAATATTCCCAACCTCCACATAAATGGCAAAAAGGACAACTGTTGCCATATCTATGGAAACACATCGAACTTCATGTGTTTTTAATGTTACTGTCGATAAATCAATTCATATTGTCGACAATGTTGGGTATGTATAAGTTTCAAGATTACGTTTACGTATATGTTTTGAGTGTGCTGGCAATAAAGCAATAATGTCACCAACAAAAAGTACATACATGCAAAGGCTGGTAGGTCTTTCCATGAATAGTAAACTAATATTTTTGTCAACATATCAATGATTCAAAACACCATTATCAGTTAGGAAAAGAGCAAAATCATATTCACATGAGACTTGTTCATACTGAAGAGTTTTTCTTCTTGACAGGTGAGCTATGACCCCACTATTAGATGCTCTTATAATAAAATTGACGGCAATTCTTTAAATGATTTTGGTTTGAGAGCTCTGCTTGATTTTTCTTTGGTTAAAAGAGCATTTTCTGGCGGACCTTCCTGCTGTTTGCTTCAAGAAATGACCCCTTCCTGCAATATGGTATCAAGGTGAAGTCCTCAAGTTCTTAAAGTTGTGTAATTGATTGATTCTTCTTCATTCTATACTCATACTGAGAGCTGTAATTGTATCTGCTGATAAGTGTCGGATTAATAACTTAAGACGTTGTGATTCTGGGTACAAAAAGTGGATTCTGAAACGTACATTTAACTCTATTCGACCACGAAGCACTACATTCTCAACCCGCGAATCCATTATTGGATCCGCCACTGCTGCTAAGTAGACGCAGAATGAGGAGTATGTTCTCTATGTAGCAACAGGCAAACAACTCTAATACAGGGGCAGATGCAGCTTTGTAATACTGGGCAGTACTTGACTCGAAATATACATTTACGTGTAAAAATCCACAAAAAATGCAATAGATATTATAGTTTATATGAACCCGTAACTTTAAAAATATAATGGATTCAATGAATAACTTTAAAGATTGAAGCTATAGAGTTTGAATCCTGCATCCGCCTCTGCTCCTATAGTGTCTATATGCAATGAAAAACGTGGAGGGAGTTTAAGTTGTTCCCTCCACTAATAATCTGTTCTTCCTTTGTTTTTCTTTCTTCTGGTACACTCCTTATTAACAATGTTTATTTAATTCCACAGTTAAAGCTGGGAAGCTGAAAGTCAAGTTAAGAGTTTTCATTAATTCAGGTACCTGTTTTTTTAAACCCCTACATCTTTTCTCAATAGAGCAGAATGATATGATTTCGTTTCTAACTTGGCCTAACTACTTGCAGCACTAAATGGGAAATTCTAAAGTTGCACTCTATATCACAATATGTGTGGTTTCTTTTGTTGTCTCGAAGATTGTTATGACAATCCTCTGTTACCGTAGATGGAAGAGAAAGCAAATGGTTGTTCAAGACAGTTTATCTGGTATGATGTGAATATTCAGTTAAGATACCATATGGTTGATGAAAATTATTTTACGTTTTCTTCATGTTCATATTCAGGTGGAAAGCTAGTGATGTTTAAATCATCAAAAATGGACACATTGAAATCCAACATGTTGTTGAAGAAAACCATGAAGCTGACCAACAAAGATATTATAGGATCAGGAGGCTATGGAACAGTCTATAAACTGACAATTGATGAATCAACTTCTTTTGCGGTAAAGAGGTTAAACAGAATAAGTGCAGAACAAGACAGAGGTTTTGAAAGAGAGTTGGTGTCAATGGGCGACATAAAGCATCGAAATATAGTGACACTTCATGGATACTATAGTGCAAATCAGTATAACCTTCTCATCTATGAGCTTATGCCTAATGGTAGTTTAGATCAAGTACTTCATGGTATATATCATACATTTTAACTTATTTCAGCTTCTGTAGACGCTTCGAGTTTTTGATATTGTGATAAATTTTAAGATGAACAACATCAAATGCAGGAAAATCTGCTCCTAGGAAGATTTTGGATTGGCCTTCAAGATACAAAATAGCGGTAGGAGCTGCAAGAGGATTATCATATCTGCATCATGATTGCATTCCTCACATTATCCACAGAGATATCAAGTCTAGCAATATCTTGCTGGATTATAGCATGGAGGCTCGAGTATCTGATTTTGGACTAGCCACTTTGATGGAACCAGATAAGACCCATGTTTCAACTTTGGTAGCTGGAACTTTTGGATATTTGGCTCCTGGTATGTTTCTGATTAGGCCATTAGAAGTTTAATCTTGGTTCTTGAAAAACTATGAATTATATTACGGTCTGCTGCAGAATATTTTGACACTGGAAAGGCAACAGCAAAAGGAGATGTTTACAGCTTTGGAGTTGTTTTACTGGAGCTTCTAACTGGGAAAAAGCCAACAGACGAATCATTTTTAGAGGAAGGAACCAAGCTTGTAACCTGGGTAAACATTTTGTTCAGTTTTTTCTTTTTCATGCTATCTGGTTTAACTTAAACAGGAATGTTTCAAGCTTTAAACTCTCAGAATTGTAATGCACAATGTGCTTAGCAGTGAGATGCAAATGGCTAATATTATAAAGTGGCATGAACCTCTGAACTTAATAGGGAAACCAGAATTCCCAACCGAAATCTCAATCTTTCTCAAACAATATTATGTCACTTGACAAGGCACCAGTTATACAAAACATAGGCAGATTAAATTTTTTAACTTTTTATTCTTATGATAGGAGGCAGATTAACTTTCAACCCCATTTGGTCAATGAAGTATAGTTTTACGTCATATATTAAGTATCAGTCTTCTGTTTCTTATCAGGCTGATATGATGAATTCTGTCATTAATCTCTTTCTAATTCACAAGATGCCATATATTTGGTCACTTAATCTCATTCTACTTTTACAGGTGAAGGCAATTGTTCAAGAGAAAAGGGAAGAGTATGTACTTGACAGAAACTTAGAGGAGTTTCCCATAGAAGAAATTAACCATGTCTTTACCATTGCATGGATGTGCCTTGAGGCAGAGCCATGCATAAGGCCCACCATGGCTGAAGTTGTTAAAATGCTTGAGCAAATAAAAGTAAATGCTTTAGCATGAGATTCTTGGTGTTTCGCTTTAATGTGAATTTCTCTCAAATAATTCATTGTACTTTTAATGCTTGGCTTGCATAATGCTTGTTACCGGTACCAATACATGGAAACTAAAAAAACAATTTTTTCCAATGGAGCTGCGCTACTGAATCATTGATTAACAAATCAGGGAATTAAAAGCCAACGGGAAAACTAACTCGTTATGGCCTTCACTTGAGCGCAGCTTCCAGTCCATTAGCAACTGATGCTTTGAGTGAAGGAGAAACTGGATAACCACCAAGAAATACATCGAAGAGAGCAGACGCAACATTTGTAGACTCAATTATCGCATCTACTGAGGAAGGCGTCCCATCAAAAGAGAGTGAAACCTTCAAAATTTCCATAAAATAGAGCATCAATTTAGAATTAAAAAAGCCAAGAATAAACAAAGTCCACATATATGGGCCTAATAGAATCTTAATGTAAATAAGCTGCACACTCACAAGCATTTTGGTTGGGTCAATCCAAGTCAAGAATATGGAAGTTTCTTTCTTAAGAGGTTTCCCTTGAAAGACACCACGGAACGTGGAAAGAGCAGATTTATCTTCGGCAGTGGGTGACTTGATTCTTGGAGAAATGGCTTCATCTAAGGCATCCCAGAAAGTTTTACCATCAATGTCTCTGACCAGCACAATGCGTAGTGATTTCTCCAGATTGGCTGCACTTCATTAAATCAACTTTAATTGATATGGTCTCCTCCCATCCCAATAGTCCAAGCAATTAAACATCACCCGCTTACCTTCAAATATCATGTTGAACAAGGAAGTATCCTGCTGAATTGCTGCAGCGGAATGTCCTCGCCAAGCATCTAACCTACTAAAGACAGAGTCATTGACATAGAGTCCTGCAGCATAGACCTTGACACCAATAATTGCAAAAACCTTTTCCCTGTATCCTAAATTTGCAGGAAGAGCAGCAAAATATGAGCATAGAACACAACCATTATCATGATCTAGAAGAACTTGGTGCAGATAAATCAAAAATTAAAATTGATTCTCGAATTATTTGGAAAAGATTATTGATTGTGTTGCAGCTGACCAGTTCCAAGCAATGACAATGAAGTAGAGCAACCAGGTAGGCTCAGTGATCTTTGAAACTTCACCTTAGTTGCTGGTTCCTCTGCACTTCCAACTGAATCCACAAAAAATTGCCAAGTCATAAATAAACACAGGATATGATTAGGTTTCCTCTTTATTCATAAACGCGTTAAAGGGAAACATTGGTCCACTTGATCTGTCTCAAAAAAAAACTAAGGGTTAAAAAGAGCAAGTGCAAGTTAAAGAGTATTTTACAGGTCGACTCCTCTCTTTGCAAGCTGCAACATCGAAAAATATGATGGTGCTGTATTTATGTTTTAGCTGTGGATGAAAAATGTGTCTACCATCAGATTAAATAGATTCTTGAGACTACATTTTGATTGGTCATTGCCACTCCAGCATTGCAGCTTTGTCTAATTCTGCTCTCATAGCTTGAGGGTCCTTCCTAAACTGAAATCAAAACTAATCTACTCATTATCCAAATAGTTCAGCTAGGCGTTAACTCTCAACAAACCAGTAATTCAACTACATTTTGTGCCAAGTCAAATCTTCTCTTCCATACTATCTCCTAGTTCAGTGAACATTTACACTTGAATGTAATAACTGAAAATTATTTCTCACGGATACCTTTACAAAGCTACAACCTTTACTGATAGTCAATACAGTAAATCCTGTTTATCACTACCATAGAGAACATAATTGAGTTTAGATACATAATGTTAGCTTAAATGCAGTGATTGAACAGAGTATTCTCTCCACCAGCTTCAGGAATCATGTATTTTCTTTTTGTTTCATTCTTATTAATTTTAAAGGGTATTCAGAAGTAAATTTGGCAATGATCAGGAAATTTGCATTTATACCATTTAGGGTTTTCTCACTCAATTGTGACAAATGTGGGACTTGTATGAATATTTAGTAAAAAATAACATAACCTGCTGGGAAATCAAGATTACCCATAATCTGAAAATCAGGAAGAATTCAGTTTTGAGGGGACTTTTCCTCTTTAGCTCAAAAGGTGTGAATTCAGCTTAACATCTAATAGTAGTAACTAAAGACAATAACTTCTGCAAGAATTAGTTGTATTACCCGAAGAGGAAGAAGCAGCTTTAGGTGTGAAATGGTGTTCATGTCGGCCACTTCTCTCAAATATGGATAAGGGATAGAGACTGTGGCTTTTGTTGAATAATATTGGCCCTACTGCATTTCTTGGAGTTTTTAAAGGATAAGAAATTCTGGGTTTGGCATTGTAAGCATTGATCTTTGTGGATGTTGATTTTGAAATCCAAATTGGCAGTGAAATGGCTGCAGCCATCTTCTGAAATTGTTACCTAGTATAATTTGTTTATTTTAAAAAGTATATTCCTGTAATTATGCAGAACATGTCATAGATATTGCATTGGATAAAAATGATGGCCCACGGACAACAACTTCTGTTGGCATATTTATGTACCCCGATTGAATTATTGTCATCTGAAGTTCAATCTAAGCTATCCTCGCTGTAGCGATAGAAGATTTCCGTACAATGACACAGTTCTAATCTCATTTGAGTTTTCTCTAATTCCCCAATTAGGCAACTACGTCTGGGAGAAAATTTCAATGGAGTTACAGGTCAATATCTCATAGAACCAACTGCTTTGAACTTCGTCCTTTTTCTAAAAAAGAAAGTATCGCCGACAACGTATTATTTTTTATTTTTTCTTTCAATTTCATCTTACAACTCCAAGAGGGTTTATAGTAAAAAATTATTCATTTAAAGAATATATAAGGATATTTTAGTCAAATATCCCTTGTTATTATTGTTACGACCTGTTAGAGATAATTTTGTTAACGGGTGTGCCAGAATATTAAACAATCGTTAATAAAAAGTAAAAATAGCACGGTATAGTCAGTTTTCCAAACTCCAGTATATTATACTTATATATACTAGAGCATCAGTGCTCCAAACTCCAGTATATTATACTGGACAATTATACTTGCTGGAACTCCAGTATATTAGCTGGAGTTCTAGTGTACTTATGCTGGAGTTCCAGCATACTTATCCTGGAACTCCAGTATAATATGCTGGAGTTTAAGCATACTTATGCTGGAATTCCAGTATAATATACTGGCGTATTTTCCGGGTTTTGAACAATATTTTCGCTCAGATTTATCTTTACATGAAATGTGGCTAAATTTCGATTACTATTGAAACTGGGCTATTTTTGAACGACCAGTTGCAAATCTGGCTATTTTTTGAATTTCACCCTAATAAAAATGGAGGGGGTGTACATCGTAATCAATTGGAATTAATCAAAATTATTCAGTTCTTTCTAAAAATCCAGCCAAGCTAATACTTCCTCTCTCTCTCAAAATTATTTATCGTGTTTCTCTTTTACACATCCCTTAAAAAAACCTTAATTAGGAGGGATTTTTGATTATTTTACTCTTATTTATATCTTAAGATATAATCTCTCTTCATTGAATATTTACTCTATTTAATTATGTGCTATTTCCATCTTCAAGAACAATTATTATTAAGGGTAAAATGAAAAAGAAAATTAATTATGTCTTGAACTTCTAAAATGATAAATAATTTGAAATATCTATTATTAAAAATTACGATGAATAATTGAAGACGGAGGGTGTACATTCTAACTTTTACGGATGTTTCTTTAGATTATTTGATGATAATAAATTTATACTAGGCATGTTATTGGGAGTATAAAGTTACATTTTTCTAGCACTGGATGACTAGAAAGGCTAAAAGAAGGGAAAATGGTAACTTTATTGAGATTTGCTGGTTGAGAATTTCAAACCTTTGTAGCCTAGATTGTGTCTTTTAAACTTGCTTCGTTTTCCTTAAATCAACTTTTAAGCTGTAGACAACTTCCTTGATACTTACTCACATGGTGCATATGCCCATCCACCATTACTACTTTTAAAAGATCTTAAGAAAATGATCCAATCTGATCAACCCCTTTTTCACTTTGAAAATTAAAACAATTAATAAGCGATGAATTAAAGGAGTTGGCATGTGTTTGTTAGGAACCATTATATTTAACTAAGGGTGTACCTGGACCGGATTGGTTCGATTTTTATTAAAACCAAACTAAACCAACTACATCGGATTGGATTGGTTCGGTTTTGTCGGATTTTTGGATTTTTTTTGCTACTTAAATATTATTTCAATCTTACTTTGTTAAATTTATGATAAGAAATGTATGTTTAGTAAAAATATAAAAAAATTGACAAACATATTATCTATTAAAACATTCTTATGAGAGAATTTTCTTAGCAATACATACGTAATAGTTATTTTTTTTTGGTCGTCTAACAATAATTTTTCGTTGATGTACACTTTCAAGGTTAATCAAATTTAGTAATTAAACATAAAAATCAATATAATACATAAATAATAATAATAATCACTTCACATTCGAAAAAGATATAAGAATTTAATAGATATTAACATATGATATGAAAGAACAAAGAGATTGACGCATTTCGGTAACACTTGATGAGAAAGTGATCATACAACCCATTATTTAAGGTTAATAAATATGGAGCACTTCATATAATATTAAATATTATATCTCGCAAGAGAATGGGACCGAGTGTTGGCCGGTGAAGATCTCACACATCCAGAGGATGAAAGTTGTAGAGATGAGNTTAAGAAGTATTGGGGAGAGGTGATCAGGCAAGATATGGCGCGACTTAGGGTTACTGAGGACATGACCCTAAACAGGGAATTGTGGAGATCGAGTATTAAGGTTGTAGGTTAGGGGAAATTGTGATGTCTTTTCTACAGCGCACTAGAGTGAGACTAGCCAGTTAGGAATTAGTCTTAGGATGCTATTGATCAACTACTGATGATGGGCTTTATCTGTTGTGTATTAATACCTTACATCTTTCTCGTATTTCCTATATCTCTTATATTGCTGTTACTTTGTTATTTTATGGTATTTATGTTATGTTATGGATTTTATGGTATTTTATGTTGTTTTATTATGAGTTTATTGATAGTACTAATATAGTGTCTCTTGTTGCCTCTTTGAGCCGAGGGTCTCCTGGAAACAACTTCTCTGCCCCTCGGGGTAGAGGTAAGGTCTGCGTACATATTACCCTCCCCAGACCCCACTTGTGGGATTACACTGGGTTGTTGTTGTTGTTGTTGTTGTTGTATATCCCGCAAGAGAATCCCAAATATTTCTAGACATTTTTAAAGAAAATTCTATATAAAATCTTAAAAGTATATATAAAATTGTATATTTATATGTCGGTTTGATTCGAATTTTTTTACTCAATACCAAACCAAATCAAACCAAACCTAGTTGGGTTTTTTAATCGGTTTAGTTTGACTTTTTGATTTGGTGCGATTTTTCGGTTCGGTTTGTACACCCCTATATTTAACGTTAATTATATTAAAGAGATTGAGTAGAGGAAAAATTTATTAACAAAAAAAGTGAAAGTAGATCCCTTAACTTTTCCATGTGATGTTACAAAATGCATTAGAAGTACTTTTCATTTAACATAGTGCATGTACATTTAAAAAATTTGGGAAAATGATATTGTATAGTCACTCTCAAAATAATATCTTAAAAAATGTATCTTTTTTAATATATTTTTGGTATATATATACATTCTCTATATTATATACCAAAATTATATAAATTTTATACACTTTTTCGGCTACCGAAAAATGTAAATAGTTTCTGACGCGAGCTAAAAGTGAAAAAAACCCAATATTTTTTCCAGAGAAATTTAATACGATGAACTTAATTCTTCAGACCATAAAGCTCCGTCCCTGACTGTCCCATATGCTCCAAAAAAACGTTTCCTTTTCTTGTGAAAGCAAAATTTTACCGAAGCAGTTGAAGTAAATCTTGTTAAAGTTGTTCTTTTCTTTTGTTTCCTCTCTTTGCTTGTCGACACGGCTCAGTTAGTTTCAGTTACGCATGAGTCAAGACCACGCAAGCAATGATAAGAACATAACGCGGTTACTGTTAAATATAATTAACTAAATCGAGATGTGCGCAAGCTGGTTTGAACACCACAGTTATATATATAGCAATTTGTCTGATCCTTCTCTTTAATTAGTACCAATTTTTATCTTTCACCAAGCTCAATATGACTTACTCGATAAAAGTTATCGGTAATCTTATCGGTCATTCCCTTATCATTTGGATTAATCGGAGCTCACCATTGGTTACAAGACATGAAAAGGCAAGAATCAGTGTGCGTGTGAGGGACTTTTGTGTGTCCTTTTCACCCAGATTCAACGTAAGTTGTAACGGCTCACCATCTTGTAGTGATTAATTCTAATATGTAACCATTAAGCTTCCACTTTTACCTCCTTTTTCTCTCCTTAAATTCTCCAACTACGTTCTCTCACTGAAACCATCAACAATATTCTCTTTAATTCTCTGCTCTCTCTTTAGCATCTGAACTTAGCCAGACAGTTCTGTTTTCCTCTCCATTAAATAAAATATACTGTTACAATAATACTCTTCATTTAGTCACCTATGGCTAAAGCAATTCTCACCCTTTTCTTCCTGCTCTTGTCCTACTCTTCAGGTTTGCAAGACCATTATTCTACCTAGTGACCGTTTTTCCTGCCGCTAATAGTCATTTTTCCTGTTAAATGTGTAGTATCCTCTACTCTTAGTTCAAATGATAGTACTAATTAACTGTTTAAATCTTTTCGTTTCAGCGCCGATACTAACAATAGCGGATGGGCAGGTAATTAAGTTATAAAATGTTGAATTAGTTAATGTAGATTATGCTTCCTCCTTTCACTTTTACTTGGCATATATACTAAAAATAAATTTTCATTTTTACTTGTCACTTTACTTTATGCGTATGAAGAAAAGATAAACTTTTTTTTCCTGTTATACCCACAGTATTTATTACTCATTTCAAATCATTTTCTCAAATCTAATAAAATATGCATCAGTTAATATGGATATCATTATAAATTATACACTTCATTTATTATTTTTTAAGGGGAGTGAAGTAAGAGCGAACGGAGGGAGTAAGTGAATAGACCGGTAAATAATGTGTTTGTACTTTTTGGTTTTGTAGAAGACTTGGTGTGTGGCTAAACCTTCGTCAGAAAATGCAATTCTTCAACAAAATATAAATTTTGCTTGTTCTAATGTGGACTGCCGCAGTATATTCCAGGAGGGTTGCCCTTGCTTTTCCCCAAACAATTTGATGAACCATGCTTCTATTGCCATGAACCTCTACTACCAAACTAAAGGAAGGAACCCTTGGAATTGCCACTTCGGTAATTCTGCCCTCCTTGTCATGACCGATCCAAGTAAGTACTTATTCTGCTCAGTGGCTGATTTAATTAAGACGCGTTTGGTGAATTCAACTCTCTCTCTATATATAATACATATGACAAATATTTACATGTATACATATAATAATGTAAAGATAGCGCCCGTTTTAATCGAAAAATAACAAAGTGTTTGTAAAGTTATTGAAAAAAGAGACACTATTTTATGCGGAGATAAAATCTACCCTACATGAAACACGAAAAGTTCCAGCATAATATGCTGCATTATGGAGCTCCTACATATAAACTTCAAACATATATAATTATATATTATGTTGAAACTTTAACACATTATGCAATTTCAGCATATTATGCTAGAATCTCATGTGTAAAAAGTTCGAACTCCAACATGTTGGAATTTTTTCGGGGTTTTAAGGGTGTTTTTGTTCAAATTTATCTTAACGTGGAAAAATGGCTAAATTTCGATTACTTTTGAAACTGTGACTATTTTCCAATTACCAGTCGTAAATCAGGCTATTTCTGATTTTTGTACTATAATATTGTCACTCATGGATTCGCCTCTGGTTCTGTTTCTCACTTACTTAATTGGGCTTGCATTGCAACCTTATTGTAAATCTATCAATAATTCAATTTTGACTGTGGCAGGTTATGGCAGCTGCACCTATGAGTGAAGTCATGGTTAGGCGGAGCAAGACTATCCTAATTTTCTTTAAATTTCTTGTTTACCTTTTTTTGTTTTAAAGGAGGGGGTGATCGTGTTAAGTTAGCATATTAACATGCACTATGTAGTCATTTAATTTTTAGCTGTCTATTTTTTCATATTATGATTACCATTTTGTTCTAGTTTTATCTCCTTTCCGTCATGTTTGGCATCTTTCCTTCTTCTTTGGGCCCTTAATATTGAAAGTGAAATAGGCCATCTGTTCAGGCTGGTCCAATTGGTTAAGCAGAGGTAGAGCCACATTGGCCTAAGGATAGTAAGATGAATCCCTTTTGTTAGAAATTGTGCATATGTGGTTTATGTACAAATATATATTGATTGTTGAGTCTTTTTAACACAAGAGAACCTTCTTTTGTAGTGATAAAGGGAATTCATGAAGTATTTTAGGCCATGGATTTGTCTCCAGCACATAAGATACCATTCGCATCTAATTAAACAAATATAGACTATTCACATTCACAAAAAATAATATATTCAAGCTTAAATATAATTAAAAAACGGAAGTTTCCTTCCTAACTAGTGTCCAAGTTGTTAATCAGTTTTAATTTAAGGAGAATGAAAACGACCAAGGAAAAAAGAACAAGGAAGTTGGTTGCTTCTCCCATCCATGGACTATGCTAGATTCGTAATTTGAAAATATTTCTTAGTATTTTAATCAAAGGGAATAAAATATTGCAAATGTCAGCAGAAAGAAGATCTCGAGATCTCAAATATCGTAACTCCAATGGAAAAAAGTTTCTTTTTTCTCCAAAAAATTAAGTGGGCGTTTGGACATAAATCCTGTGAAATTTCGGGAGAAAATAAATTATTATTTTCATGTTGAAAATGGTATTGAAAAATGAGAGTTGTGTTTGGACATGAATAAAGTTTAGAGTTATTTTTGAATTTTTGTGAGTGTTTTGAAGTGAAAATTTTGAAAAACAACTTTTTAAAGTTTTTCAAATTCAAAAAAAATTGAAATTTAAAATTTAAAATTTAAAACACTGATTTCAAAATAAAATAAAATAAAAATCGATTTTTCATTTATGGTCAAACGGGCTCTAACTACCAAACGTATGAAGACCCCATGACTCTAACTAAAATATGTAGTATAGCATTTTAAAGATTGAATGAGAGAACATATTGAATGAGAGAACATAGAGATGTCCCCTCCAATAATCAATAGGCCAATTATTAAGATTAATTAAAGATCTAGTAACCTAAAAGGGATAGAGACACGTGAAGGAACAGTTGAATGCTAGTGAATGCAAAAAGGCAAAAAGAGGAAAGTATTGACTAGTTGAGTACTCTGTTTTAAAAAGTAGAATTGGGACTCGCCCGGAGCTCGTCCTGAGCGGAGCACTCGTAAAACGCCCCTGGGCTTATGTGTGGGGTTTAATCGTGAGACTTACGTCTCGGCCATCAGAGTTTACGCTCCGGACACGCCCAACACCCAGCGTACTGGGCTCGCCTTATAGAACTTTATACAATTGTATGTAACTAACCTTCTAAATCCTCAATACTTTTTAATAAATTGTTGACTACTCAAAATTACTTTTTTCCTAATTATAAATCATTAAGTTGAGCGTATTTTATGTCATAATTAAAAAAAATTATTGCACGTTATCCACTAAGACTGTTATGATAGTTAATTTTAAATAAATCTTTTATTTAAAATGTATTTATTTATTAACTTTTGTTATGTCTTTACTATATAATAGTCCATAATTTTTTTTATAATTATTTTCTAAATATTATTTTTTTCACATTTACGAGATATAATACTTATTAATTTAATAGCTCAGTATTAGCTAGTAACTATCTATAAATAATTAGTTATCATGGTATTGTAAGGTGAATTATATGTCACTTTATTAACTTGTTGAAACTTAAAAATGAATGATTCTTGAGAATCATATTTAAATTGTGAATTATGTTTTATATAAATTCTCTTTCAAATAGAAAGCATATTAAATAAAAGGAGTATTTTAAGAAAAATATCGAATTATAATATCGAAATTCTTTCAAGATTCATTACTCCTTAAGAGATAAATATAAAATTTCGTATCGAATACATTATTTTTGATGTTTGAGTTGTAACGATGTTGCAATTAATTTGCATATTATGATATGTCATACTTTTCGTATTATTTATAGTTGAATTATAATTTACAAATATTTTAAATAGATTATTTGTTATAAATTTGTGATTTTAATGTAATTTTTATAATAATTTTTTATTTGTATACTATTTATACAAATTCTTGAAATTTGTGTCTCAAGGCTTAAGCCTCGCCTCATTAGAGGTAAAACGCCTCGCCTCATCCCTCCGTCTTTTGAAACATTGGTTGAGTAATAAAAATGAGAGTTCATAAGCTTGTTTTATCATCATCTGATGTGTCGAGTTATTTCTCCACAGGATATTTCCTATAGTATATTTGGGGGGAAAAAAAGCAGCATATTGGGCTATTGGCTCCAGACTACGAAGTCCCAGCCATATACCTAATAGTAGTAGTTATTCTTTATCCCTTCTCCTTCTCGAACAAGTAGATTTGAGTCAGCGTGCTCGTGTAAAAATCTACTTACACTTGATATTTATAGCAAATTAATGTACTTTACTACGAGTAATTGATACATGTAAACTTTTATCTTCAACTCATAGTTCCTAGTTTGTTTCGGTCAACGTGTTTAAGAAATAACTTCCTTTTTCTTTTAAAGAATATAATGCCGGGTTGTAGTACGTACTAGTAGGGCTGTTCATTTGGATCGGATATCCGAAATCCGAACCGATCCATTCAATTTTGAATTTCGGATTTCGGATTGGATCGAATTTCGGATTATGTTTATTAAAATTTCGGATTTCGGATCGGATTTCGGATTGGTATATTTTAATCCAATCCAATCCGAAATCCAAAATTATTAGGACATGTATAAATACTACACTTTAATTTACATCAACCTCCAAGTTATTACCTTTACAATTGCTAGATTTAGCTATATTGGCACCATAGTACTCTCATAATTGCATAAACATGAATTTTTCTTAATGTATTNGTAATAATATGATCCGATATCCGATCCGATCCAAACTTTAAAATCCGATCCGATTCGATATAATTCGGATCGGATTCGGATTGCATTTTCTAGAATCCGAAATCCGAAATCCGAATCCAAAATATGCTAAATCCGATCCGATCCGATCCGTGCACAGCCCTACGTACTAGTGTTAAATTATTTTACTTATTTTTAATTATCTTAATTTGAGTATTGATTATTAAATTTTTAGTACATACTTAGAAGCTATATAAGAAGAATTATATATAAGATGCAATTCTTTAAAAAAAAATCAGAATATGCATGAAAAATCAATCATAATCAAAGAAAAAGTTGATTGGTGTATTGGTCGAAATTTGGACGACCACGACTGAAACCAAGTGTAGCAGAGAGCGAGGACAGTGGCTAGCGAACGCACGATATTTGTAGTCGTGTTAGCATGATAGGAAATAATGGGAATATGCTTTTGGAATATTCTTTAAGTTGTACTTTTTTCTTTTAAGATTAAGAAGGGAGATTGTCCCCTATAAGAGGGGATCGAATATTCTGTAAAGGGGGACGATTCTAAGATCGATATACGACTTTTACTTGAAGTTGAATATCTATTGCAAAGTCTCTCTACATTCAAAGCAATCATATTTATAATTGGTTGTTCTTCTCTGAGATATAGATAAATATTGTTCATCTTGCTCATCTTTAGCACCCTTCAAGCTAGATCTTATTATATTTGGATGAGATTTACCCAATCAACTTTCTTAATTGATTTAATCAAAAAAGTTTCAATATCTTTTGGTCAAACAAATTGGCGTTGTCTGTGGGGATTTCTTTAGCTAAGATCTTAGTCTCATCTAGATTCTTGAAAGGGATAACCACCTCTTCCTAGCTTTATGTAAACTAACAATGGCAGGGAAAGGAGATGCAAGACTGAAAGCTATAGCAGGCGTCATAACCAACCTTCTGAACACCATCAACGAAGATAGCAGGGAGGATAACGAAAATGAAACGTCGGGCATCACACCCAGGGGAGACGATTCACCTCCCCCGCACGAAAGTGTAACTGCTTCATGAGAGAATAAAGCCTCCACATCTGCAACCGGAGAGGCACCACCAGTAGTGCGAAGATTGCTGGAAGAATGGCTAACGAGTACTCTGAACACCATACTTGACAAACCCGCTCAAAGGGATAACAGGAATGCTGCACATGCAGATGTCACGATAAATGCTTATGAGCAGGATGCCCCCATACAAGTAACATTTATGTCACTAATGACGTAGGTAATGACACGCTTGCAACTGTTTTAAAGAAAATGGAGGAGATGGAAAATGAGAATAAAGCACTCCGCGGCCAAATGAAGGAACACCAAGAGAGGGTGGACAAAATACCAAGCGCTCCAAAGTTGTTGCCAAAATGCGATGTTGGTCGATTCATCGAGCAACCATACATTGAAGAAGTGGTCATCTACGCCATCCCAAAGACCTTCAAAATGCCTCCCTACCTAAAGATATATGACGGTACTACCGATCCATAAGATCATATCATCCATTACGTTATAGCAGTGAGAGGTAACGATCTTTCAAAAGAGCAGGTACCATTGGTACTATTGAAAAAGTTTGGCCAAACCCTAACAGGAGGAGCATTGACATGGTACTCTCAACTACCGACACGCTCGATAACAACGTTCGAGGAAATGGCAGATAAATTTGTTACCACCCATGCAGGAGCCAAAAATCCAGAAGCTAGGGTAAATGATATATTTGCCGTAAGGCAAATGCACAGCGAGGGACTCAGAGACTTATTAGCTCGGTTCAACAGGGTAAGAATGAACCTGCCGAATATGTCAGAAGGAATAGCAGTAGCAGCCTTCCAGAATGGGCTAAACAGGAACGAGTCGAGAGTGACCAGAAAATTGCTAAGCAGGCTCATGAAATAGCCTCCAATTACTTGGGAAGAAATCTATAATGCTTACTGCGCCGAGGTACGAGCCGACGAGGATGACCTCAACGGTCCGAACCAACAGTTGACGTCACTTCAAGCTAAAACACGGAAAGATCGTCGCAATGACGGTCGAAGAGATCAGTTAGGGCCCCGCCTCGGCCGAG